CTCCTGGAAGCTTCTGGGCCAGCTGTCTTGCAGTACACATAGCTATGGAGTCAGTAAGAGAGACCCTGTCTCAACAAGGTAGCAGGAGAGAACAGTTCCTGAGAGTTGTTGTCTGACCTCCACATGCATACTGTTCACGTAAGTTCACACACACACACACACACACACACACACACACACACACACACAAAGCTGTTGGTGTACATAGACTTGGAAACTGATATGTCCAATGACTGCGGTCTCCCTAACCTTTAGAAGTGAAGTGAACTTTTTAAAAAGAGTAAAATGCAAACACACTTTTGGGGTCAGGGACCTGACAGGAGTGCAATTTTCAGGGCTTGGGCTCCCAGGAGGTAGGTGGGACTATATTGCTCACTCAGTTTAAGATCAAGTTCAACCAGGACTCCATGTAAAATGACAGGGCATGGACAATGAGGTACCCTTTATGTAGGCAGTGCTATAAGTGGTGCTCCTTGGAGCCTCTAAGTACACTGAGTTCAATGACCTACTTCTCATAGGTCCTTGGTTGCTATGGTGTTGGTAATCACTTCCCACACATAACTCCCTCTCACTGCCTACCCCTTGAGGTCTTTTTTGGTTATTGATTCTAAGCACCAGGCAAAATGACTACTAACTTCTTAAGAAACAGCTTGACTAATGAAGAGGTGGAAAATGAAACACACAGACACACACCCCTTAGAATTGTGTGTGTGTGTGTGTGTGTGTGTGTGTGTGTGGTAGCTTATGCACATATTTACATGTGCATGGAGGCCAGAAGACAACCTCAGGTGATGTTTATCTTTGAGACAGGGTCTCCTACATACCCTAAAACTCTTAAAATCAGGTGTTATTATTTCTCTACATGAAACTGGAGCTATAAAAAGCTGATCCAACTCACCTCAGTGGCATCTCCAAGGTGACAGGACATTATGGGGGAGAGGGCACTATCCCTGTCACCATGGAGCCACAGCACTTTTCCATGCCTCCAGTCATCACAAAGGCCTTCAGATTTAACATTAAAGACTCAAAACCCCAAATTCGATTCTCAGCATCACACGTACCACGACAAAAGGAAAAATAAAAAATAAAAAGGGAACAAAATGGATTTGTGGATTATTTCTGGGAAATAATCCTTAGTATTGCATTGAGCCATGCATAAGGCTGCACTATGGCAATGAAACTGAAAGTGGAAAGAGAGATGCATGTTTCATTGTTGATACATAAATGTCACTAACACAAAAGTCAACAGATGTTTGTGTGTACCTACCTCCCATGGGAGGTGGGGTGCCTTTAAAACAATGTAACACTGCTTACAATGTAACCTTATTTCTAGCCAGGTTTTTTGTTTTTGTTTTTTGGCATTGAAATTAGTTGTGAGGCTTTTTTCCTTTTAAATTTAAATTAGAAACAAGCAGTTTTACATGTCATCCCAGTTCCCTCTCCCTCTCCTCCTCCCCTGCCCTCCACCAATCCCCTATCCCATCCCCTTTTTGCTACCCAGGGAGGCTGAGATCTTCCATGGGAGATCTTCAAAGTCTGTCATATCATTTGGAGCAGGTCCTAGACCCTCCCCAGTGTGTCTAGGCTGAGAGAGTATCCCTCTATATAGAATGGGCTCCCAAAGTCCATTTGTGTACTAGGGATAAATGCTAATCTATTAGGCCCCATAGACTGCACAGGCCTCCTAACTGACACCCACATTCAGGGGGTCTGGATCAGTTCCACAGCTGTCAGTCTGGGGTCCATGAGCTCCCAGCTCAGCTGTTTCGGTGGGTTACTCCAGCCAGGTCTGGACCCCTTTGCTCATTACTCTTCCCTCTCTGCAACTGGATTCCAGTTCAGTTCAGTGTTTAGCTGTGAGTGTCTGCTTCTGCTTCCATCAGCTACTGGATGAAGGCTCTAGGATGGCATATAAAGTAGTCACCTATCTCATTGAATAAGGGCATTTAAGGTAGCCTCTCCACTATTGCTTACATTGTTAGTTGGGGTCATCCTTGTAGATCTCTGGACATTTTCCTAGTGCCAGATTTCTCTTTAAACCTATAATGGCTCCCTCTATCATGGTACCCCTTTTTTGCTTTCCTCTATTCTTTTTCTAGCCAGTTTTAAATTAAGTCCAATTCAGAATATCCCATGTGTGTTCAAAAGATCTCTTGTCTCAAAATTCAAAGCCTTCTCAGACACATAGTGTTAAACTACGTAGGCCAACTTACAGTAGGAGTAAAGATGCAGGCTAATTGCAAGAAACTGCCAAAGTGGTGCCAGACTGACATCAGAAGGAATATTCTAGTAGCCCAACTTAGCGTCCTGTGAAGATCGAGGTTGTCACACCATTCGCTTCCCTTTCCCTTTGCAGTGTCTTTCAGGCCATTGGAGTGGGTGTTGGGTGGATGTTGTGGATGTTGAGTCAGTGCCCAGTCGACATTCTCCTCTCAGACTTCCATGACTGCCTTTACCTCCCTTTCTGTGACCTCCCACCTACTGCTTAGCTCTTCTATGCTGGCATTCACATGGTCAAGGCTCCAAAGAAGCTCCGGCCGGCCATACTGGACCAATAAAGGTAGCTTCCAGTCTTCCTCAGAATGCAGGCTTTTTAACCCTTGAATAGGACACTAACGTTAACCTGACCCCTTTCTTGCCAAATGGGATGGCATCACAAAGCAGAACAATTAGAGCAGAGTCCTGTCCCACAGGTTAGATGGGGCCTGGCATCTTCCGGGAGCAGTGAGGCAAGCAGTGTGAGCAAGGAAGAGACAGAGGGAGGGGTGGTTAGGCTGAGGCAAGGTTGTGTAAAGCCATGGAAAGTCAGTGCTTATGGACTTTGGTGAAGGGGATGTGCAGAAAAGCAACACTCTTGGCTTGATGTTTTAATGACTTTCTCCGGCTGTTGTGTTGAAAAGACACTGTTGGAAGAGAAAGATACAATTGGGAAGATAGGTTAGGAGATCATTGCAAGAGTCCAGGTAAGGGATGGCGCCAGATGAAGAATAGAGAGCATAGAGGTGGTGGGAAAATTGACAAGCTCTAGTTCTACGTGAAAATTGAAATGGACTGGGAGGACTTCTTGATGGATTGGATACGGAGACAGAGGAAAACAGAAAAGGTCAAAGGTAATGCTGGTCCCCCAGCCAGGTGATGTTACCTTTCCTTGCCACTCTGCATGAGAAGAAATTTTGCATAGGAAAAACTGTTTACTTTTTTTTTTTCAGAATTGTGATATCAGTATTAGCAGAGAGAGTTCTAGAATAATGCTAACTCTGAATCCTAACCCCTAGTACATGAACCTGTTTTATGTACATACTGTGCAGGGTTTTCCTTACCTCCACAATGCCCCCATTCTGGTTTTGAATATACTTTTTATAGATCTGGTTTCATGGCCCCATTACTGCTTTGTGAAAACTCTATCAGCATCCTAAAAATATAATTGGTAGGAATTCCAGATTTTTTCTTGATTCACTTGTAAATACATGCCCCTTAGTTTACTAATTTCCTTTTTTAATACTTATTTTTAGAAATATAATTGGTAGGAATTCCAGATTTTTTCTTGATTCACTTGTAATCAAGAAAATACATGCCCCTTAGTTTACTAATTTCCTTTTTTAATACTTATTTTTAACTTGTGTGAGTGCATGCTTGCATGTGTGTGTGTGTGTGTGTGTGTGTGTGTGTGTGTGTGTGTGTGTGTGTGTACACATAGAACTGGAGTTCTAGGTGATTGTGAGCAGCTTTGTGTGGGTGCTGCCTGATGGTATTGGTCCTCTGCAAGAGCAGTTCATGCTCTTACCACCCACCGAGCCATCTCTACAGCCCCAACACTGATTTTTAAGGCCAAAAGCTTTACATCTAAATGCTGTTGAGCTCAGGTAATTAGTGTTCAGCATACTGCTTTTGGATTCTGTCAGGTATTGGTTTGTTCTGAAGAATCTCAGCGCATGCCATCTAGTGATCAGAGAGCTCTGAAATCTTGTGATAATGATTGCCATTTTCATTACTAATCTTTTACATGTAGTGCTATGGTAACTGCCTTATTATTAGCAGCAAGCTGTATTTTAATATTTTATATAATGTATAAACTTATGGCACTCTATGGTTTCATGTGGTCATAATTTTTTAAAATTAAAACCCAGTCATGTGCAAAATGTACAAAGTAAAATTATACTTTGAATATGCTGTTTTCAGACTTCTGCAGAGAAAAAAACTTCAGATTTTCTGGAGGGTCTTTTCTTCCATCTTCTCACTTCTTTCCCAGCCAGGGCTTTCGATATACAATCTGTTCTCCAGAGATATAAATAAACTCCGAGTTAATGGATATTTTTTTGTGAAATATTTTTGAAATTTATAGGTTCACATCTAAGAAAGAAGGAAATTAAATTCAAAGGTCTTAAGTATGGTTTGTTGCTATTTTGACAATTTTTTTTGAAATATCAGTATCTAAAAGGAATATTGTCTCTGTGTAAAAACCTTCACAACAAGTTTTGTTAGTGGTGATAGATTCTTTGATCCCAAGCCGGCAAGAGACCTTAACCAGACTCCAGGATGACGATTCCCTTCACGTCTTACATCCCTTGGTTCACCTTGTCTTCCTATCATCACTTACTGTTTACTGCTCTAGTTGGCAGCGTGAACCTGGGAGAGCTGGACCTAAAGGTGAGGTGGACTAAGTCTCATGAAATAGCTGACTTTATTCAGAGCATCAGACAATTTATACTCTGAGGGTTAAGAAGGATCACAGGAGTTCAATCACAAGGACAAGCCACATGTGACAAAAACGTGTTTTCCATAGAGGTATATGAAAAACAGCAGCTGAAGTAAACCCACTCCTATGCAATACACCCTGAGAGGAGCACAAAAAACACATCCCAAAAACAATTCTGTGTTTTGAAGAAACGGAGGCCACAAGACTCTAGTCTTGTTTGCTTACAAACACTCAGAATTCTCCTCATATGACTCCATTCTTAGACTGTTTTCTGACATGGCCCATAGTTCTCTTTTATTTCCAGGTACAAGAAAACACATGAAACCCTGAGCCATGCGGGGCAGAAGGCCACAGCAGCTTTCAGTAATGTGGGCACCGCCATCAGCAAGAAGTTTGGAGATATGAGGTAAGCAAGCAAACCAAACAGGAGCTCTGCCAAAGAGCACTGTGTACTGGTGTTCGTGCTTTCTTTAATGGGTAGAAATGGCATTGCTTGGTGGCAGAGATAAATTTTCATGTTGGGATAGTTTCTGTTTGAAGGTTAGTTTAGAAGCCTGGCCCCAGCCATACCCTTTCAATCAGTAAAAGGAGAGGTCAGAGGGAATGAGGAGGGGTTTCAGAACAACCCAGTGCACAAAGAACCAATTAGTTAACATTTCTTTCACTGTGACAAAATATTCGACAAAAGCAACTTCCAGAAGAATCTGTTTTGTTTTGTAGTTTGAGGCTACAGTTCATCCTGGCCAGGAGGTCATGGCAAAGGGGTTTGGGGTAGCTGGTCACCTTCAGGAAGCAGACAGAGGAGAATTCTGGCCTCTCAGTCCTGGACCTACCCTATGGGTAGTGAGTCTTTCCTCCTCAGCTTAGCCTGTCTGAAAACAGTCTTACGGACACATCCAGAGACATGTTGCCATGGTGATTCTAAATCTAATCAGTTGTCAACGGATATTAAGCATCGCATATCTTAATTTAAATGATATAGGGAAATATTCAGTGGCATCTGCTCTGATAAATTATTCTGGGCTATATATTTGTATCCAATCATCTGGTATATTTTATATTTTAAAATGATACTACTTGGTTTATACTTCTGGTAGTTTTCTTTCTTTACTTTACCAGTATATTGACACATATTAAGAACTTATACACCTTCGATTTTAATAACTGAATTATCATACAGTATACAGCAGCAGTAGAACTTTTAAGTACCCTCCAATTATAGTTGTCAATAGTTCACAGAGACTAGGAAGGACACAAAGATAGACTTTGAATTAACCCTAACATCCTTACTGTAGAAACAGGGAAAACAGTGATGTATATGATATTTTTATTTTTTATATTATATGTGAGGGGAATGTTTCTCATAGTTATTACTGTCATATTTGTATTGTTTAAATGTCTGTCATTTTATTTTAAATTTGACTGGTGTGGCTTAGAAGATCTTTCTTTAGAAATCAATTTCATTTTTCTCTTAGAAACCAAATTAATTTTTTAAGTTGGGAAGTTTTAAGTTTCTCCTTTTCAAAAACTGCATATACATTTATGTCATAGATTTCTCAAACTGTTACTTCTCTGAAGCTTTGATACCTAGAAATAAATATTCATGTCTTTGTATTTACTTTCTTACACTGAAGGCTGTAAAATTATGTCTCGTATCCATGAACCATTTTCACTAGGCATTCATGTGAAAAGAATTAATTACAGATATGTACTTGAATACTCTGCATTGTTTTATCTTCATTTTTATGAATACCACATTATCAAAAGGCATTGAAAGCCTTCAGAGGTAGCATGAGATTTTTGTATTATTAGTTACTGCTAATTTTATTATAGGTAAAGTTTGCAGTCATATCAGTAGCATCAAACCATTTATCTGGACAAAATAATCCCTTACACAAAAAAGACCCTTCTGCCTATTATATATGGGAAAATATGTTTTGCCATGCTTATAAAGTTTGTTCTCTACAAATGCAGTTGAGAACTTTCTCTAGAACACTAGCACCTTGCACAACTCTGCCAAGTAGCTTTCATCCATCTTCATGAGTCCATATAAACATCTCTGGAGCATTTAAAGCACGTGTGCTCCGAGATTGCTCCTCTCTAAGGTGGTGCTCAGAGGTGTTTGGATGGGGGCTGGGAATCTGGGAAAGTGACTGCTTTGGGAAGCAGTGATCCCATCTTTACCTGGATGGTCTGTCTCCCTTATCAAACACGGATGAGAGGAGCAGGGAGATAAGACTCAGTGACAGAGGGAGCCCTTGGCTTCCATCCAATCACAGAGAAAGTGAGAGAAACCCAAGTAGCAATGCCACTGGGTTATTATAGAGCCCTGCATGTATTATGTACTCAAGTGCTAGTTTAATCTTTATTACACAACCAACTCAAAGTGGTCCTTACACGAAGAGAATCAGGAAGCATCTGCAATGGGGACCTCTTGTGTCTTATAAAGGTGCCTCATGTTTCTCTAGGGAGGAACAAAGACGGTTGTACATAGTGTGTTGGTATACTGCTGTTCATTTTGTGCTAAGTGTGAGACCCAGTTGTCAACTGCCTTTCCTCCTGTGTTTGTTTGTTTGTTTGTTTTTCGAGACAGGGTTTCTCTGTATTGTTTTGGAGCCTGTCCTGGAACTAGCTCTGTAGTCCAGGCTGGCCTCAAACTCACAGAGATCCTCCTGTCTCTGCTTCCCAAGTGCTGGGATTTAAGGCGTGCCACCAATGCCCAGCTTAAAGTGTTTTGTTTTACCACAGTGTATAAACTTATTTCCCAGGGGTTCCAGGCTGTTCACTAGCTACAACTTCATTGAAAGATTCACAGTTTTCACTGTGAAGTGACGGGTGTTATTATGCTAGATTTATGTCAGTAGAAAAGCAATTGCCTAGCATTCGTGAGGTCTGAGGTTCGAGCCTCATTGCTTTAGAAAAACAAAAAGTAGCTAAAAATCCTGGAAAATGTAGTATACATTTCTAGAGAGTTAAATACAGTCCTGAGAATTTTTAGTTGAAAAAAGTCAGAGATGTATTTCTAGTTTTTTTTTTTTTATCAAGTATTACAAAGGCTTTAGTTTCAAATTTTACTCAAAGAAGTAATGTGTATGCAATTTTTAAATTCCTTCAGGTTAATACACTCAAATGAGAGAGCTTCCTTCTTACATTTTGTTCAAACTAATGTGTCAATTTATAAGATGATAGTAGGAAATGTTAAAATTTTAACCAGGTATTTTACCTTAAGCTTTCCCTTGGTCTAAAGTGTGGTATTACCCTATACTATTCATTATACTATAAAATTCCTCTGTGTTCCAATCAACTTTCTGACCATGTCTAGTCTTTTTTCCATCTGTAAATACATAGCATTAGTGGTACTTCCTCACCTGGGTCTTAGAGTCACATCTGTGAAGTGAACTCTCAGGAAGTATAAACTGTTGGGATAGTTTTTATAATAACAAATTGGCATCCTCTCAGAATTTCCCAGAATTTGTTCAGACGGTGAGCCACTGGGGACCAAATGTTCAGAGAAAGCATGTGACGGAGGCTTGCCATCAACATATCACTGTGGGAAAAGCAGCTAGAAGCAAGATTTCAGTAGAGCAGCAGACAAAAATCTTGAAGACACATTTAAAAATCTGTACTATCGGCTGCCATTTCTGCACCTGTGGAGCCCACGGGTTGAAAATAGTTTTTAATTCACTTTTATTGAAGAGGTACCAAGTTTTGTGTTGAGACTCTCTAGGTAACAAGACATAATGAATGCCATATGACTTTACCCTTTGTAAAGGCATCCAAGTAATAAGCATAGAATAAAACCTATATGCAAACACTAAGGCTTTCTATGCAAGGACTCCCATGTCTGTGGGGATCCTGAAACACTTCCCGTCAGCATGCACAGGGAAGGCCGACTGTGCATTCAAAAGAACAGTGAATGGAGTTACTTCACCCTTTCTTTTGAGCTCTTGCAAAGGACGTAAGTCACATAAGGTCATGTCTGTACCTTCTGTGCTAACTCAGCCCTGTTCTTCTCTCCCATGCTGCCTGGCTGCAGGTCTCACTCCATTGGGTAAGAACACTATGTTGAGTCTGTGAGACTGTGTAAGGTCTGCAGCTCCCTCCTCGCATGCTATTCCCTTCTACCCTTGGCTCTCAGCTCCCTTCATGCTGTGTCACAATCATAAAACGAGACCATTTTCCATAGCATGCATGAAACAAGGAACATGGTAATTGCACAGCAACGAATCTGATGGGGTTGATTGAACCACACATTCATCTAACTCTCCAATCTTTCCCACCAGTTTCATTTGCTAAAATTCAGAGGTTTAAAAAGAAAGTGGGAATTAAGAGTTTTTGTTTTTTTTTTTTTGATTGTTTGTTGGTTTGCTTAGTTTTTATTTTATTTTATTTTGGTTTTTTGAAACAAAGTTTCTTTGGGTAGCTTTGGAACATGTCCTGGCCTCGAACTCACAGAGATTTGCCTGCCTCTGCCTCCCAAATGCTGGGATTAAAGGCATGCGCCACCACAGCCAGTTTTATTTTGTTATTATTTTTTTTTAAATAAAACTTGCAGAATATGAAACAGAGAACTCTTTCCCTCCTATCACTTTTCTCCGAATTTCTTTAACTTTGACACACTGACATCTAAACTTTAATTTCCATATTTTGAAGTTGTAGGAAGGAAAATTACTGGAAAACACTTTAGGTTGAGAAGTCAGTGGCAGCCAGGTGTTGGTGGCGCAAGCCTTTAATCCCAGCACTCGGGACGCAGAGGCAGGCAGATCTCTGTGAATTCGAGGCTAGCCTGGTCTCCAGAGCGAGTGCCAGGATAGGCTCCAAAGCTACACGGAGAAATCCTGTCTCGAAAAAACAAAAAAACAAAAACAAACAAACAAAAAAATAAGTTAATGGCTTCCAGTCTGAGGATTTCAACTTAAGCCTTCTTTCTGGAATCTTAGTATGAACTTAATCCACTCCCATCCCAGATTGTATTTAATGAGATGAACAGATTGGCAATACTGATTTCCTGTAGTGATGTGTTTTCTATATATAATCTTTGGGAGGCTACCAGTACTGCCCGAATGACCTTGTCTTTCCCACTTTTCAATAGAAGACCGCCCATCCTGATAGTTTTACTTGGTAGTCTCCAGGATGTGTGACAGACCTGAACCTGTTATGTTAGCTTCTAGAGCAGTGGTTCTCAACCTTCCTAATGTTGTACCCCTTTAATTGCAGTTCCTCATGTTGTGGTGACCCCAATCATAAAATTATTTTTGTTGCTACTTCATAGCTGTAATTTTGCTACTGTTAGGAATCATAATTTAAGTATCTGTGTTTTCCAATGGTCTTAGGTGACCCCTGTGAAGGCGACCCCTGTAAAATGGTTGCTCTAACCCAAGGGGTAGTGACCCACAGGTTGAGAACCACTGTTCTAGGGAAAAGAGCAAGCAGGACGAATGTTTAAAATGTTACAGGAGAGCAAGCCCTAGCCCAGGGTAATGGAACCCAGATTGCTTCCTCCCAACTGCTCACTCCAGTTCTGGGCAAAACTCAATAGACAATACCAGGCAAGGAGAAGGGAGATAATGAGTCAGCTACTCTAGGATTAAGAGGATCGGTCTCCTAAAATTCTCGGGCATGTTTACATTTGTACCAGTTGTTCTTGACAATTAGCCCAGAATGGATGTAGAAGTCTCCTCTTGCAGCTGGTGTGTGTGGATGAACAGTGTTAGCCTGGCATGCACTTCCTAGGATGCCTTCTCTTAACCATCTGCACTCCTCTGGACAGTTTCTGTCCAATGGAACATTAGCATCTACCTGCTTGGCCATCCTTCCTGGGTGCAGCTCTTACTCTTCCCCAGTGTGAGAAGGAAATGCAGACCAGGGATGTGCTGGGGGATACCACACCTTCTAGATTTCCTGCAAGGCCCCTGGGAAAGAGTGGAGGCCTTGGCCATCTATTCTCCCTTATGCCCTTGGAAGCTGATTGTGGTCACTTATGCCCAAGGAAAACAAATAACGTCTCAGTTGGGTGGGCAGGGAATACATCGGTTGTTTGAAATAGCTGTTTTAGAACTTTCAAGCCAGAGTTTTTCCACAAACTTAAATTGTGCTGTCTTCTTCCCCCCTCCCTTTAATGTGCTTTGTTCTAAGGTACTCCATTCGCCATTCCATAAGTATGCCTGCCATGAGGTAATGTGTACAAAATATTCACATCATATTAATGTAGAATGTATATGAAGCATTTTTGAATTTTTATATGTGAATTCCTTCCTTGTGTCACTTTATGAGAAAAGAATTAGCTGTGGTGCCATGCTATGCCTCTCACTTTCTTCTGACTATCTTCAGGAGGGAAGGTGGCCACTTGCTGTGGACTTGGGTTTTTGACAGAAACAGGACCTTAAATCCAACCCTTTCTGAGATCAGGGAGGAGAACTTCTATCACAATCTCCATTTATAAAGAACTAAGAGCTACCTTGCATGGATCTGTGAGGTCAAAACAAAGTAACATTATCTGAAGCACTAACATGAGGCCGGGAACATTCTAAACACCCTTACATAATTAAATGCAAACCTGGGAGGTGGGAGAGAATGGGAGAAAAAAAAAGAACTATGTCAATAAGATGTTGAGAAGAGTTGTTTGCTAAAAGTTTAACAATGACAGACCACTATGATCCTGGAGATCCTGGATGGATTACTGGTGAGAACATCCAAGTTCAAGGTTGCATGGCTTAGTGATATAGTATGACTAAAAAAAAATCACTAGTGGTAATAGTCTGGAGGCATGGATGTTCATAACAGAAATGAGAAGAGGCACAGTTCTGCCAAAGACCAATGTTACATCCACAGTAAAGCACTGTGTTGAAAATAACAGGCTGGAACCACATTTGCTGTTCATCCCATGGTGCTCTGGCAGCCTGGGCTGCAGGCAGTGTGGGACAAGAAGCATATGGAGCCTCTGCGACCTTCCCACACTTCAGTCAGAACTATGGCTCCCCTATGGCTCTCTTCTGCTTCCTACTATACATTATGATTTAGAGTAATTGCAGAGGGAACTCAGTTACTTTAAATAGTATGAGACCACTAGAACCAAATTCTTCCTAGGGTCATTTGCAGTATCAAAGGTTTGATTAAACAGTTTCCCTGCTCTCCAGCATGCATTCTAGTGTAATTTAATTAGAGAAATGTTTGTTCTTTTCTGTCTGATGAAGTCTCTTCCACGCTGGGGATATTTGCCCAATTAGTTGGTTGGGAAATTTACCACAGTGTTTGGTTTTCTGTTACCACTTCCATAAGACACCCTGACTGGGTAGTGCAACCCAAGGCTTTTATCTCCTTGACTGACCAAGTTTAAATCTGGGTGTCCGAAGAAGGCTTGGTTTCACTCTGAGAACCAGAAATCCATCTTGTGGTCGGTAGGTCAAAGACAATCTCATCAACTTCCTGGAGTTAACTTTGAAAGGAAATTAAGTTTACTAATCTAACATATACCCACAAACCATCCATCTTAACTGTCTACCCACTGTAGGCCTACGGATCTGATGGATGCCATGTGGGCAGTCTCAGCCAAATAAAGCCTGAAGAGAAAATGAAGTACCACAGTATATAATTTTGAGTCATACAAATGTAATTTCACCATGAAACAGAGGCATTATGAAGGATTACTCACAGGGACTTGACTAATGGTTGAGTCATGTGCGAGGTATAAAGCTGTGCCCTGCAGTGTGAATAGAGGTACAGTTCTAGCCATGGGGACTGTCCAAGTCATAGGAGCAATCCTCAACAAACCAAAGACCTAGAGAATACATTTGTCTTAAGCCATGGCTCATCTCACACCATACAACCAAACATTTTATAGCCACACTCCCTTATGAAGATTCTGTAGGGCATTTTTTTTCTTATTTTATTATGCTCTGTACTCAAGAAAGAGCAAGTAGTTTATCAACTATGTTAAAATTTGAAATATTTGACATGAATACAATGGCAATTGTTACTGAAATGTGACATGCCAAATTTAAGATACAGCTCTCAGTTTAGCTTCTATTTCTTTAAATGGATTTAGTGATACCATTTGTAATGCAGTGATATCAATTGTGGTCAAATCCAACAAAGAAAGCACCAAATGACTTAAGTCCACAGATGGGTGGACAGATAATACAACGCAATGCTTGAGTCATTAATAAAATGCCAATGAGATAAGAAGGCTCCATCTCCTAAAGGGGTGGAAAACTAATGCATACAGCTAGCAAAGAAACGGCTTAGAAAGCTGATGGGGGTAGCCGGTGTAAAATAATGAAACATCTACTTTCAGAAACACCACTTCCTGGAATCTGTCAATGTCATTATTTTTTAAGGCACAGAAAGAAAAACCAGGAACATTTTTTTTTCCCCTCCTTGAGCTATTTCTTGTCTGTCTTGGCTCAAATTTACTGAAATAAATTTCCAAGCAGGAAAACTCATGCATGACCTTTAGACAGATCTTCCACTAAAACAAACAGAAAAATTGAGTTAGGAAGGGGAATGTTGTGGTAGAAAACAATTAACAAATGTAAAATTAGCCAGCAGTCCATCGGCTCAGTGAAAATGACTTCTGGAGGACTAGGAAATTATTATAGTTGGATCCTTGGCATCTGGTGACCATTTTACTTAGAAATATTCCATGTCTATGTTTTTGGACCTATCTGAACAGAAGCAAAGTACATTTTAAAACATAGTTGGTATAGGTGGCAAGCTGACAGCCAGCTCTCGTGCAGAAGTGATATTTACAAACAAGAACTGAAAACCAAACAACATGATTGCTAAGACACAAGGTCTTCAGAGCTGACCTCTCTTTTTTTATTTTAGGAATTCTCCTACTTTCAAATCATTTGAGGAGAGGGTTGAGACAACTGTCACAAGCCTCAAGGTACAGATGAAGTGAATTGTGTATGATTGGGTCCATTTCATGAGGACAGCTTAGTCATTGTTATCATTAGTGCTGAAGGCAAGGTAGGGTCATCACCATTCTATGAAGTCAGAAGGTAGACACATGTAAAAACAGGCCTTTTCCTTCCATGGAGACCTCCAGATAAAATCAGCAGTGAAGAATATTCCTGCATCCTTAATGTTGATTATAAAACACTCAGGTGGGTTTTCATTCACCGCTTAATTTCACGTACCCAAAGGTGTACGTGAGAGGATTATGGATGGAAAATGAATAAAGTTTCTATAATAGCTCACAGATCTTCTGGTTTGGATGCTAATTAGCAAAATCAAATTGGTTGCCATGTGTCATAATGCCATTGCTACCATCCCAGACTTATCTACCAAGTTTGCATACTGACCACACACAGTATGACTATCTCAGTGGAAAAATTATGCAGTGCCACAGAATGCATTAGTAATTAGAAATTACACCTGTTCCGTGGTCGGTGTTAAGGTTTTATTAACTATCTAACCACAGATGTTAATCTATAGGGAGGAAGAAAAATATCAAAAGCAAAACTAATCTTGATTTTAGAGGCATAAATGTAAAACATGAAAACACATTGAAAATCAATTATTAAAAGAAACTTTGGGAAGATGCCACACAAATAATGATGTCCTTACCTCTTGATATAATTACTATCATGAACATAGTTCATTCTGATATTTTAATTATTACTGGGATCTAGAGATCAAAATGGTAACAATTTAGCTGTCTCTGGACCCTCATCATGTCAGTCTCACATGTGCAAGGGTGAAAGTTAGTCCTAAACAGGTCCCAGGTGCTTCCAATGATTTGGACCTGCAGGATCTTCCCTAAAGCAGGCTCTTTCACAGGGCCTGCTTTTCAAGGCCTGTGATCAGGTTTTAAATGCTCCAGAGTGAAACTGTCTGTCAGTGTCAGTATTGTATGGTGCTTGTCAACTCCCCACACCCCTCCTCTGAGTATGTAAGGATTAATAGGCACCACTAAATTGTCCTGTAAAGTAGGGCATTAAAAAAAAAAAAAAAAGCAACATACTGTGTTGTGCGCCTGTCTCTCACTGGAACGTTTTGTATAAAAGTAAATGACTCAAACATCCCAAGTCAGTTTCTCAACACTTGGGTTCCAGCCTCCCATCAGCTCTTGATTACAGTTTGTGTTCCTTGTTAGAGGAGTTCTGATGTAGAAGTTGTACTTTTTTTAGGTTCCTTTAGAAGGAGGAGATATGAAGAAGCCAAAGATGATAAAGAACAACCCATTTCCGTTTGCTTTTAGGAAAAGGGCAAACTCATGGTTCCCATGTAAGCGTTGTTGTCACAGTCTCAGACTCTTACTGTTTTCTCCTCATGGAGACAGAAGGCATACAACTAATCTCCTCCTTCAGGCAGGCACATGTCCGTGAAATCCATCAGATGCCGTGCTTTGTCTAGAGCTCCTGGGAGCAGACTCTGAGTGTGCAACTGGCCATGGCTTTCACAAGACTCACATCCTGCTCATCTCCCAGTCAAAGCCATTGCCAGGTGCTGCATGAAGCCTCTCACTTCAGCAGAAACTTCTCATACTCCCTGCTGCTCAGACTGAATAACAGATACATCAAAGTGTCTTTTCTATAGCTTACTTGCTGCACTTTGCTTTTGGGTTCTAAATCTTGAAGTTTCTCTCTTGGTCTCCACCTACAGGCCTTGAGGCTGTTTTCTCTTGAGGGACTAACTCAGTAAGGAAGACAGGATGCCTCCGTGTTTCGTTTCCAGGCACAAGCTCCACTTTAAGCTTGGTTTCTAATCCCCTGACAGGGAGTCAGGGTCAGGTTTATGGTCTATGGGGAACAAACATTCTGCAGTGAAGCAATACCATCCCCTCAAGCAATCTGACACATACCAGAGGGCACTGTTCCAAGTCAGTGTTTCTCTTTTTATATGCAGTTCAATGGGCAGTGTGATAGTTCATGGAAAACTTTCCAGTTCATTATAATCATATAGCGTTTGGTCCTGCCAACATGCTGGCAGTTTATTACTGGAGGATAGCTCGTCTAGTTTCATCTGCAGAGCTAACCAGCATTCTTGCTATTCCATCCATAACTGACAGATGCAGAGTCCACACCTACAAAAGCACATTTTGTGTATTTAACCATGTTCTGATTCGTCATGAACACCGACATCTGTCACCCACCCTTCCTAAATGCCATGCAGACCGTAGTTTCAGTGAACCTGCTTTCTGATGACTACATTACAGAATGAATCGAGCCTTCAAAACCCAAAGATGGATTGCTTATGTGATGCGGTTTAATGCTTTGTGTTTTCCTAGACAGTTACTCTGAGAGATTAGGAGCCCTACTGTGCAGTTCAAATGAAACTGTCCGTAAAGAATGATTCTAATTCTGGGGACAAAGTGATAGATTCTTAGATGTACAATATTGTGAAGAGAAGGGTGCAAAAGAAGTTTACTGTTTGTGTCTTCACTTAAGCCAAGAATTACACTCTGATGCCCAAAGCACTGCCATGGGCAGATACTAAACACGCATGGTTAGAAAATCTCCACATCCCATTTGTTTACCAGATTGAGGTTTTTTGCTTTTTTTTTTTTTTTTTTTTTTTTTTTTTTTTTTTTTTT